GAGCTGAATTTTGCCTGCTCCCGCTGTGAAGCTCGCTTCAGTTCCGAAACAGCCCTGAAGCAACACACCCTGCGACAGCATGAAGAAAAGATCTCCTATTGCTGTCCTCGATGTGCCTTTGTCTGCCACAGTGAGGCCACCCTCAAGTGCCATATCCAGAAGCAGCACCCACATCTGGAATGTGCCACCTGTAAGGAGACTCTAACTACTCGGGAGGAGTTGGAAGAGCACAAGAAACTCCACTTCAGTCACCGCTGTGACATCTGCAGTTTTGCAGCCAAGGAGCGGCAGCAGTTAGTGAGCCACTATTTGGAGGCCCATGAGCCCTCCGTAGGCGCTGAACCTCCATTCAAATGCACATTCTGTGACTTTGGTTGTCATCATCAGCTGGTCTATGACCATCACATGAAAGGCCATGGTGGCACCCGCGTCTATAAATGCGCTGACTGTGAATACACCACCAAGAACAAGCAAAAGATCACATGGCATATCCGCATCCATACTGGGGAGAAACCTTACAAATGCCACCAGTGCCAGTATGCCTGTGCCGACCCTTCACGCCTCAAGGTGAGAACGTTGGGCAGCTTTGGTGAGTTGATAGTGGAAGGTTGTTGTGGAAGATGTACAAAACCATTTTCCAGGAAATGGGAACTGTGTTGCCATGGCACTCTTTATCAATTGAATAGTCTCTTAGGGATCAGATTTTTCAGGCATTGGAGCAGAAGAAAATACTTGGATCTGGTAGTCTGATCCATAACCCACTTTAAGGAATGGCTTCTCGTTAGGTTGCTTAAATGTCTCCCCATGGTGTCTTGTCTTACAATGTATACGAATAAAGAATTCATTCCTGCTTCTATAATCTGCAGAGATCTGTATTTTCATCTCTTTGTTTTGTGCAGAGCAGATCGACATTTTGTGAACACCCTGGGTGAAGAGCACTTTGGATTGCATCTCTTTCCCTCAGACAAATACAAACTTGGGGTCACCTTTATGATGTAATACTTGATGAACAGATTTGTTTTTCTGATGGAAGGATCTCTGTCTTTATTTTCCACATCAGTCAATTTGATACTGTCTTTGGAGATTAATGAATTTCTTGATATGGGAAAGTAGTTGAATTCAAAATGAAGTGCAGACCTTTTATAGCAACGGACCATTTTGGAAGCCCTACAACTAGGAAATGAGCAAACGTTTCTCACTCTAAAAAGTTTAAAGGTTTTATTAAATTTAAAACTTAAAACTAAAATTTAAAATGTTCACTTAATTTACACTCTGAAAACAGATTGAACTAATCAAGAATGGACTTTTAAAAAAAAAACCCAGCTTAATTCTGGAGCCAAAAAGAAATCTCTAGTTCAGGGGTAGGCTACCTTGGCTCTTTTATGACTTGTGGACTTCAATATCCAGAATTCCTGAACCAGCCATGCTGACTCAGGAATTCTGGGAGTTGAAGTCCACAAGTCATAAAAGAGCCCAGGTTGCCTACCCCTGGCCTAGTGGTATGGCACACTTTTAATAGGGCTGTGCCACCTTGGAAAACGATTTAGCAGTGTTTTGGCTCTTGCATGAGCATAGTATTTGTTTAGTATTTATTAAAGCAGTATGGTTTTATTCATGCTTCTATATAAGCCTTGAAAGAGAAAGGAGCAATTACTCTAAAGAGCCCACTAAGTCTAAGAGAAGAAGTGTGAAGGAACAGCAAATAAGTGTTCTCCTTCTGCAAAGTCTAAAGCACCTGTTCCAAATCATTTTTGAAATTTACTGTTCAGTACTGACTCAGTGTGTTCCATTATTCCACTTTTATACTCAAAGTCCACCAACCAGTTATATCCAAAAAACTGTTGAGTTCTGCCTAGCCCATTCAGCCCCTAAGATTTCAGTCATGTTTATAATACTTGGTGTAAACAGGTAACAGCTTAGTGTCTCATGCACGCCTGACTTTCCTTTCGTTTCTTAGTATCATATGCGTATCCATAAAGAGGAGCGAAAGTATCTTTGCCCGGAATGTGGCTACAAGTGCAAGTGGGTGAATCAGCTGAAGTACCACATGACAAAGCACACAGGTAGGTTTTCACACAAATGAAGTGGGCGTGAGTCTCAGGATCAGACAGGGCTGGGATAAAAATCGCAAGGGGGAAGTTTTGTTTTTTTTAAATTTTTCACTTAAGAATTATCATATTTCCAGTGGCTATTGTGCATGCCTGGAGGTTGAGCTGTTGGATTTCATTTTCATATTGTGCTACCATCTGTTAGTTCTATGCTGCAGCAGTGGGTGATGATCTCTTGAGCTTTCACTTCCCCAGGGCATGAGGTATTCTGCACCTCCAATGGAATTAAGATCCCTTGTAATGGAAATCCACCAAGTGAAAGTTTTGTTTGGATAATATGAAAATATTGTCCCATCTCCGTTTCCGGTGGGGTTTTTTTTTTTTTTTTTCTGTTTCCTGTGTAGGGATCAAGCCTTACCAGTGTGATGAGTGTAAGTACTGTACCAACCGTGCTGATGCCCTGCGTATTCACAAGGAAACACGACATCGTGATGCCCGTTCTTTCATCTGTGAGCAATGCGGGAAGGCCTTCAAGACTCGGTTCCTCCTCAAGACACATCTAAAAAAGCATAGTGAAGAAAAGCCATACATCTGCAACGTGTGTTTCCGTGGTTTCCGGTGGGCAGCTGGCCTGCGGCATCACTATCTCATTCACACAAATGAGCACCCTTTCTTCTGCCGTTTCTGCAGCTACAAGGCAAAGCAGAAGTTCCAAGTGATAAAACATTTGCAGAAGCACCATCCTGAGCGAGAAGAAATAGAAGGGGATCTCAGCAAAGGGGTGGGCAAGGACCCAAGTATTCTTGGTGTCCACCTGCATGATGTTCAGCTTGAGATTTCCTCCTCCAGGCACCTAGAGGAAAGTGTGGCTCAAATGTCTCCACAGGACTAAGGACTTCTACATCAAGACTGCTGTTTCCACGAGCCAAAATTGGGTGGAAGTTCTTATCCAGCAGTATGTGAGGTCTGGCTTGAGATGCTTGGTTACCACCTGTCTGTTCTCTCGTGTTTATATTTATCTCTGTATATGGGATGTAAAATATGTGATTATATAAAAGCTATTTCCTTTGATGGCATGTAATCCCTTGATTTACAGAGCAAAGCAAGAATGATGGTGATAATAACACTTCCGGTGGCTTCTGCATAAGGCCTTCAGCGATGGGAGAGTTTGGTTTAAGTTCATATACTTTATAAAGGATACTTCTGGCAAATTGTTCAGACAGTTCCCCCAAAATGCAAGTGATAGATGAATCCAAAGAACTGCAGACGGAACTTCATGGGCACAGAATATATTCCTTAACTAGCACTGATGATGTTACCTAGTTTAGGTAATGAAACAACCAAGTTCAAAGAGCACCAAGGCTAGCTTAAATCACAATTAACACTACCAACAGAGTAGGGATGGAGAAGTTTTGATATTCTCAAGTACTTGGAGACCTGCTGGTCTTAGAGCTTTGAAATAATCCAATTGCTTCAGTTCTTAATGAGATTTGATGAGCGCTCCTAGACCTAGAGCAGCAGTTCTCAACCTGTAGGTCGTGACCCCATTTGGGGTTGAACAACCATTTCACGGGGGTCGCCAAACAACGCAGTCCACCATTTTTTTCCTCCTTTTCCTTAGCTGTGCTACTCCCTCTTATTCTATTGGCTTTTGAAAGCCAATAGAATAGACTCTATTCAAGAGATTCTATTCTATTGGCGTTCGAAAGCCAATAGAATCTATTGGCTTTCGAAAGCCAATAGAATAGACTCTCTTGAATAGAGTCTAATTCTATTGGCTTTCAAAAGCCAATAGGAATTGTCCAGGCTGTCTCTGCCCTGCTGAGCCCACCAAAAGTCCCAGTCTGCAAACAGTGCTGCAAGTTGTCTGCAGCTAAGGCGAGCTTTCTGGACATTTCCACCCCTCCCTGCTGAGCAACTACTAAATGTAAGTAAAAGAGGGCCAGGGGTGGGAGGTGGGAGGCCGGTTGGCGCAGGGAGGGTTGCTGGCGCGCGTGGGGCCTGGCAGGTGCCTTACCTCCCTTGGGCTGGCCCAGCTGGTGGCCCAGCTGGTGGTCGCCCTGCACCCTTGCTGCCGCGTGCCATGGCCACCCAGGAGCACCTGGGCCTGCCTAACGCCACATCGAATGTGCGGTGGCCAAGGTAAGGCTAGCGGGGCAGCGGTGGGCGCAGGGAGGGTTGCTGGCGCATGTGGGGCCCGGCGGGTGCCTTACCTCCCTTGGGCTGGGCCAGCTGGTGGCCCAGCCGGTGGTCGGCCTGCGCCGTCGCTGCCGCTTGCCAGCTACACCTCGGCCTGCGCAGGGGGCGGCACCACGCATGCGTGGTGCTCCCGGGCCGAGGCGGTTGCTGGGCGATGGCCTGTGTGCACCCTTGGCCTGCCCAGCGTGCACTCCAGCCGCATTTGGGGTCCTGCGTGCACCCTCCTCCTGCCCCGCCCGCAGGGAAATACAGGTAGTCCTCGACTTATGACCACATGGTTGGGGGTCACGGCATTAGGAAGGTTGAGAACCACTGACCTAGAGGATTTATTGAACTGCTGCTTTGCGGTACTTAGGTTAGCAATTAGCTACCAGTTTCCAGAGATTGCATCACCAAAATTGGGTGGCAAAATAGCTAAATTTCAATGTTACAATGTTTCACTTGTGATTTTTCAAAATACTTTCCAAAATGGCCTGACTTTCCTGTTTCTCAGGCCACTTTTATTTTAGTACCTATTTTAATAGTGGGAACAGGAGGGGAGAGTCTCCAAATGGAAAACAGAAAACAGTTGCCATTCTACTCTTAAATTCTGAAAAAAGCAGACCATAAATGTTGTGTTTGTGGATGCTACAATTAAAACATGCCAATTTTTGTGGATATTCAGATAAGCAAATAGGCGTGCGTGTTTCTATAAGACACAGAATCAACAAAATTCTGCTGCAGTATTTATTTCTTGAGTAACGTACAAACAACTGTTTGGGGCATAAAAGGTTTAATGGTTTCTTTGTCCCATTTATATACAGCCTTCAGTTTTTCTTCTTTATTCTGTCTGCAGTTCATCAGCCAAATAAACTGAAATTGTACAATCAAAAGCAAGCATACAAAAGTAGCAAAACGAAAGAAGCAATAATTTTAGCTTCACCATCGGAGTCTATAGTTCTTTCTTGCTCAGATGGCTCCTGTTGTTTATATCTCCTTTTCCTTTAATTTGTTTATACCTCCATGCATGTATTACATAACCTTGCATCGGTAGTAGGAAGGTCTGTTGCAACAAGATGCAATCCTATGCAAACAGCTCAGGGACTAAATGTTACAGCTTTGATTGAACAAGCATAAGATCAGGCTATATGAGACTTTCTGCTCTACTTTAAAAAATGAATCATACAAAAGAGATACCCTGAATGTCTCTATTTTCTGACAGTTTAACAGAAATTGCTTGCACCAAACTTGTTTTTAATTTTAAAAGTAACTTCTGTGATTCTTCCTCTATCCTGGTTTGAGTTTGAAACACGAATCTAAACATAATTAAATAGACTTTCAAGGGTCCTTCACTTACGCTGAAGGATTGCTACATTTGGGGAAATATGCCAGAAGCATAAGGAGAAGCTGATGAATGTTTTCTAACTTTTTAAACTTCTTCCTGTATTTTGCATGGAATCAAAGCATCTGAAGTGGGGAATAGGAAGCTTAGGTTCTGTGGAATCCATCTTGTTACATTGATAGATTCCTAATGAAACTAATGTTAGCGAGGTTCAGCGACTGGGGTTACGATCACTGTTACCCATCAAGACTAGCTTTCTTTTCTAACACACTAATAAACATTGCAATGACATCCATTTTGAAATTAAAAAATAAAAACAATAAAACCCCTGTACTTTAAAAGTAATTTGAACCATTCTTTTAAGTAATACATTTATTTGGATAAAACAATTTCTATAGGTCCTTACAAAAAAAGCCATACTTGAGAGGCAATGGCATTCCAGGGAGTGTTGCACACACTGCAATTGTGTTAGATATTAAATTAAGCACAACCATGTTGAAAGCCAAGCGTCTTGGATATTTAGGTGAGCTAGAGAGCAAAATATGGATATGGTGTCCATAGCACACGAGCTAGCTATAACCAGATAAGATAGCTTTGAAATAGATCTTTAGGGCTACATTGGTCCTTTTGATTAGAGTAGGTACAAATGAAATTCTAATGGTATGCTCCTCAATCTACAGACAATATGCAATTTCCCTCTTTCTTACATTTTAGCTATCCATTTTGTTTCTTTAGATTCTGGAATTGGCATTCCAGCTGCTAATCTCTATTTCCAACAAACACCCTACATGAGAGAAGCTGTCTCTCAATATAATGTAAAAAGCTGAAATAGTTGATGGCCGGTGAGCAACGTCAATGTACCAGGAAAGGCAGATTTCAAACCATTTTGTAATGTTCCCAAGTTTTTTTGTTCTACAGGAGCCATAGAAAAAAAATAGTATCCATAACCATCTTTTGCTAGAATTTCAGCATTCTCAATTTGATCCTAGCTCATTGGTTTCTTTTTTTAAGACTAGTATTAGATTACAGCTGACCGTCAAAGGTTTCCTGGTAACAAATGCTAGAGAGAAAGTCTGCTCCACTGATTTCAGAAAAGAAATTGATCAGAAATGGTATAGGGTTTCCTGCTTGAGCAGGGGGTTGAACTAGAAGACCTCCAAGGCTCCTTCCAACTCTATTATTTTGGTCCTCCAACCTCTTGATGAAGGTTCTTCAAAAAAGAACATCAGTGGAGTATGTTCTTGTTATTTCTTGCCTAAAAGAAATCACCCAAATTCATATGCTTATAGTATTGATGGCATCCATACTGCTTCCAAGTGGAAAATACAAATCACAGTGTTACACATGTCAGGTTCACACACAACTTAAAAGATTTTACCATGGGCATCCTAACTCAAAAAAGTTTAGCTTTCATGAATTGGAAGGGATCTAATGGGATCTTGACAAACCCCTAATCATACATATGGGGGGAGAGAGAGGGAGGGAGGGAGGGAGGGAGGGAGGGAAGGAAACAGACAAGAGTACCAGATCAAAAGCTAGGATAAAACAAAAGTCCCTTGTTTCAGGGTCAACAGCTTTAGCAGGCTGTCTGCTGCCTCAAAAGAGGCTTGGCCAGGGTTAAGTTCAATTAACCTACTTTAATCAGTAATACATATATCCAGGGTGCAACACAAATTGCTGGTTATGGTTGCTAAGAGAATCACTGTGGATCATTAAGTGTAATGTGTGACTGTGACTTCTTGCCAGCTTTGCCACTGACTTTGTTGGCAGCTGGTTGTGAAGGGGGCAAATGGTAGTCACATGACCATAGGATGCTGTGACCATTGTAAATGCTCGCTGGTTGCCAAAGGCTGAATCACAATCAAGTGACCATGGAGAAACTGCAAAAGCTGCAATTTCTAGGAACCAGTTAGTTGTAAGTCTTCTTTTTCAGTGCTGTTATAACTTTGCATAGACGCCAAAGAAGTGGTTGATAAGCAAGGACTATCTGTTTAGCCAATCTCAATAAATATAGTTCTAATCTATCTATAGAGTTGATCTCTGGTTTTACTTAGTGGGATTTACTTACTTATAAATCTGACTGTGTTGAATCTCCCCCACTCCTTTTTCTTATAATCTAGTGATTAGGGAGGCATCTGCTCCTGAATATTATCTTCTTTCCCAAGGCTTAAAAAAATGTTTCAGCTTCTTTTGCCTGGCTAATGATTCTGTCAAGGTCATCTCCTTTCCTTTCTATACCTCTCAGCCCCATTATCTTTGGACAGGGGTTTTATACTCTTTCTACAGTGTAGTAGTCTTGTTTTTAGAAAAAACTTGCTTGTTGTGTTACAATTGAAGAGAAAGAGTTGTACAAAACAGGAAGATTGCAGACACTTCTTCCTGCTTTATTCCACATATCCCTCCCTATCTGACAGGTGGCTAATTCATCATTTAAGCACCTTCCTTCAGTCACCCAGTTCTAACCTGTATAAGGGAGAGTGATTAGTGATTGTTTTCCTACTAGAACCAAGAGAAACCAGGCTGGGGAAAAAAATACATCAGTTCATTTCTTAGTATTGGCCCACAATAGGACAAAGCTTTCATCAGTCTATTACTGTTGCAGAATACCAATCAGCAATAAAAGCAGCAGAATTTATGCCAGCATATAGTTCTGCTGGCTCAAGGCTTGGTGAATGGTACTTTAACAAAGCTCTTCTGGTAAGTCCTTGATTACAAAAAACATTGTTAAAAGAATTTTGCTCTGTCGGGGTGGGCTGGATTTCTTACAAGACGGAGGTAGATTATAAGGTGAGACCTGAACAAACTACAGTCATAAAAATAAACAAGCAAAATAATACAATTGGTATTTCTTTTCAAATATATATATATAGTAGTGGAAAACAATGTTTTTTGTCCAAATCCCATTCTGCATAGAAGTTCGAGGTGATTTTAAAAAAAACTTAATTCTTGTCTCCTTCGTTCACCCTCATTCTCCAAACCAAAGGGGGCAGAGAAGGAAGAGTTGCATAGTGTGTATGCAGGAATGTGATTTAGTCGTTCTCAGTTGCCAACTCTCCTATCCGAATGTGGACAAACAGAGATGCTGGTGGAATCCCAGTGCCATCCTTCGAAAGAAGATGGATGTGGCGATATCCTGTATGGGAAAAGAAGGTGCAAAGAAGCCTTATTTTAATCAGGCCTAAGGCCAATCCTTTTACTGTCTTTTCCATCTGCAGGAGAACATGGGACAGATTGTCACTCAGAGCTCTTCTAACTGCATATTTCGCAACACCTCCCACCTCCCAGTGTTGGCCACTTGGGTTCATAAGACCAGGCCTGAGTGGAATCCCATTGGTTGTTTCATTCAGCACTGCCTACTTTCATTAGCAACACTTGTTAAGCTCTCTCCCACCCTTGCTATCTCAGCCTTTAGAGGTCATAAATAGCAGCAAAGTAAGATGCCAAAATATTTGTATACGTAGCTTGCAGTTTTACTTTAAACACTGGATTTTCCCTTGTAAATAGCCAGAAGTTCAGAATAGTTCAGAAGGATGTTTATCGTTAGAAACATTTTTTTTTAGTTGTTGATTCCTGTCTGAACTGGATCATGTTTTGAGCTCTGATTTTTCATATAGTTTTGAAACATTGCATTTTCCTCCATCACCTTTATTTGACCCAAGATGACTCTATGGATATACATGAACAATATTAGTTTCTTATTCAGAAAACAGGTTGACCTGATCTCTTTTTCTTCCACAACATTTTCTTGTTTGGCTTTGCTACAGTTGCAGACATAGATAAAAAATCCATCTAAGCAATATTTGCAAAACTTAATCCAAATAATAAGGACAAACTACAGTCAGGGAACTTCTGAAGATTGATCCATCCAGGATCATGTCCATGTCTCTATATCTTTGTTTTTCTATATTGCAAGTTGCTTTTAGACATTTTGTAGTGGAAGGAGAACTTGTGAAAAAAAATGTCTGAAATAAAAACAAATTTGGTGAATTATTGTACATATATTTTAATGAGGGCTCATTGGGATGTATAGCATATTGATATGCTAGTTGCTGCCAAATAAAGGATCATAGAACTTTAAATTTGGAAACGTATGATATAGCTCATGATGTCACCTGAAAAAAGACTGAAAACACGTTTTCTTTCCTTTTTTCCCTAGAGCTGGGCTGAAAGGAGGATATCCTTGGTAGAAGACCTAACAAATTCCCAGCTGTATAGATAGGATTTTAACAGGAGATTCAGCCAGATGGGGGTCATAGCCTATTGTAATTAAACATTACTGCAGTACTCTTGGAAAAGGAATATCCAATGAAGTTGCAAGTGATTTCCCCCAATTCCTTTGTCACAGAGATCACTATTATTTTTATCGCCAAATAAGGAGTCCCATACCTGCTTTGACACTGGTGAGAGGTAGTGTATACTGGCCCACAAAGTCATTCCAAGTCGCCTTGTCATAATCTTCCACCACAAAACGTAGAAGGGCCAGTTCTGGGACCCACACGTAGAACCGAAAGGACTCACCCCAGTGTGGATTAAAACCTGTTCAAGAATGTTGAAATAAAGTGAAGATGCCCTCACTAAATGGTATTTTAATATCTCTTTTAACTTTCCCTTAGACCGATGTTTCTCAATCTCGGCAACTTTTAAGATGTGTGGATTTCAACTCTCAGAATCAGCAACTCCGAAAGTTGCTGAGACTGAGAAACGCTGCCTCAGACTGTGCCAGTCTCATCCCCTAAAAATCTCACCCAGCTCCCCTCTTCAATGCTGTTTCTAAAATGCTTCCTTAAACAATTGTCTTCTATTTCCCTTCTTGTCTTACAATCATCTTAATACCCCGATCTTGCAAGTTCTATTCTGAATGCTTGAAAAAAAAAAAAAAGTCCTTACGGCTGGTAGTATGGAATCTGGGTAACTGGCAGATACATTGTATTTTTGACAAAGTTCTTCTTTCTTTCCAAAATATTGCTTCATGTTTCCAACATGAATGCAAAGATAAAAATAAAATAAAATAATTGAAATTGGGTGGAATTAAGCAACTGAAATTATGAAGAAAAGGTTAGCTATGATGAAATTCCACTGGATTAAACTGGGCAAATCTGTTGCATTCTGTGGTAAAATTAGATTCAGCTTTGGATTTTTTTTAAAATGATTCCTATACTTTGCTGTCTTGTTATATAGGAATGTTTAGCCAACGTACTTTGGAGATGCTCTTTAAAAAAAAACCTTCTCAAATCTACTAACATTTTTAAAAAAAAGAAATATCCCTGTAAAATAACATAAATATAATTGATGTAATTTATATATTAAATTGATATAAATTGAATTGATATAAAACAGCATAAGAACAATATCCTCCATTAGTCTGAAGAAGGCTTTGCCAACTAGTTTTTGCTAGGCTTAATACAAAGAGGTACAAATACTGCAATACCCTGTTGCTTAAGAAGTTTGGCATATTTACATAATATTGTCTTTCTCCAGATTTGTATATTTATTCCAGTGACAGATTTATTTTATTCCACCCAGAATCCGAATTTCATTGGCACAGATTGCAGAACAGGCATATTCCATCTACGAAGGAGTTCTAGCTGACAGGGCTCACAGCACCCGCCCTCTGGAACATCATCTCCCCTGAGGTTAGATTGATCCTAACCTTGTGGGTCTCAGAGGATACAGCTATGTCAGGGGTAGGCAACCTTGCCTCTTTTATGACTCATGGACTTCAACTCCCAGAATTCCTGAGCCAGCCGTGCTGAGGGAAAAGGGAGAGGTTTCCAAGCTGAGCCATGCTGGCTCAGGAATTCTGGGAGTTGAAGTCCACGAGTCATAAAAGAGCCAAGGTTGCCTACCACTGAGCTATGTCATCATCCCATGCAGATGGGGAACCTGAGAGATGGCTGTATTGTTTGTGAGCTGTATAGGTCTTTACTGTCTCATTTTTTTTAATATTGTTGTTTTATCTGTTTTAACTGTTTTTAATTTTATTTATATGAGCTCAGTTTTTGTTGTATTAACCTGGGAGCTAACCAGAGTCACATTTGTGAGGTGGGCAGCTACAGTATATGAATTGAATGAACTAAAAATAAGGAAAACATGTAAGATCTAAGGCCCACTTTCCTTCATCTTTTCAATAAGACTGGCTCACCATTGTTTTCAACATATTTGGTTTCCTGCTTGGCACTGTCAGAAGGGGTCCCATGAATCTCCACTCGCACTAATGGATCCACAATGGAGCCTTCTTTGCTGTTGGGAATCTTGGGAAGCTGCTGCCCACTAATGATCTGAAAGAGAAGATTGCATGAGCAGAAGCTGCAAAAGCTACAAGGCAGAAGCTGAAAAAGTACTAACTGCTGAAACTTGAAACATGCTGCTCAACACAGAGAGCAACTCATCAGGAGTCCTAGAATGCCCAGGGCTTCTTTTGTCTCCAGCTGCCAGTTGACCCTAGAAGTGCCACTTTTGCATTGGCACTGATGTTACTGAGTCAGTCATTGCTCTGGCAAATGCTCTCAAAGGTCTTCACCAGCATTTCCTTTGAGTGCAAAAGTTGGAGGGTCTGCTAGAACAGTGGACCCCAACCTTTCTGGCAACAGGGACCAGTTTCGGAAGAAAAAATGTCTTCTACAGATTGGGAAGTGATGGCTTTGCACATAACCTAGATCCTGTGCATGCAGAGATGATGCTTCGCTCACTCGCCCACTGCTTGTGTGATCGAGTTCCTAACAGATTGTGGACCGGTAGCAGTCCATGGCCCAGGGGTTGGGGACCCCTGTGCTAGAAGATACACTAGCCATTATTCTTGGAGAGCTCCTTCATTGTATCTGTTCTTTTGCATGGCTGTTGGCAAACTGAACCTGTGTTCCAGAAAGAGGAGATGCAAATTTTAAACAAACAAAAGTAAATGACTGGTTTGATTGGAGGGAGAGGAGAAGAGTAGGATGGCAGCAGTAATAAGAAAAGGAAAGGTGGAGAAAAAAGTACTTTTCCCTCTGTTTTCATTTTTGCCTTTTGCCCCACCCCCCATTTTGGGCAACATAAAATGCAGCTCTCTCCAAATTTAGATCCTTAGTTAATTTCATAATATGTAGACTTTCTGGTACAAAAGGAAGAACATTCCAATAGAAGTTGCCATTATACAGGGGAAATTTAAGGGAAAATTCCTTTAAAATATAATTATTTTTATTGGTCATTGTCTACTGAACCATAAAAGCATAGCAGCAAATGTATATATATATAATTTTAAAAACTTGGAGAGGGGCAGAACTCTATGTTCATTGGTCTGGCTGAGCACGAGGAAGTTACATATTTTTTTAACCTCCCCCAAATCTTTAAAATATGGGTACAGACATGTACAGTACCTTAACCATTAAGCTCAAGGGGTTACCTTCACCCCTGCTTTCATGGTTCTCAGGGCTGAAGGCTGTCTCTCTATCCCTCATGAAACTTGGCTTCAACACATAACCACAGCGGCCATTTTGACTAAAAAGCCCATCATACAAGTCCATCTCTGTACCAGCCGTTTGAAAATTCAAGGCCACTGAAATGAGGAAGATTAGATGGAACAGTTATTTTATTATTTATTTTTAACCTTAGAATCTCACACCTGTCCTCATAGAGTGGTTCCAGAGAAAAGAGAACAAAGAAAAAGCAGTTGAGAGAGAGGAACATCATCTTTTCTCTGCAAAACAAATTAAACCCCAGTCTAATACACTGACCAAGTTCACACAATACATTAAGCCATAATGTGAGTTGCTTCTTGTGCTAGGCAAACCCAGTTAATTATGGTTTCAATAATTCAGAGAACAATTCATATACTATGTGAAAACATCTATTGTGTTTTATAAAATAGCTCAGTACAAAGTGTAAACTCTGCAAAGAGGGGCTTACCCTATAAATACCGGATAAGCAAACAACTGCTTACGTAAATGCCATCCACTCTGGAAATTCAGAGAATTATCATTAAAAGAAATCTGAAAAGCATCAGGTTGGAGAAGTACAGTACAGATCACTTCTCCAATTAATGTGTACTGTAGCTGACAAAAAAGAGTGTAAGCTGACATTATTGTTCTCACACTTTTTTTGTTTACCTTATCTCTAATTTTTATTTCTGTTTGCCCTTGTCTGGCTCAACAATACATACAAGAGGAGGAGGAGGAGGAGGAAGAGGAGGAGGAGAAGATGATTCCTTTCTCATATAAACAGCAACACCATAAAAACTAGATTAGCAGGATTCACTCAGGTCATAAAATGCAACAGCAAATAGTATCAAAAGAGTGAAATTTCATATTCTTTCACAAATGACATTCCTAATCTATTCAGTCTATAATATAAACGATGCAGCGCAAATGAATGACTTTGTCCTAGAAAAAAACTAATTGTTTATCATTTGTTTTTCAACAGACTAGGACTGCAATGATGTAAAATGGTTGGAGATGTCATTTGTGATGAATAATTGTAAATAAGAGCTGAAGAGACCAGACATTGGATCAGATCAAATACCAACATCATCCATTATCTCCTGTCTGAGGAGGACAGCAATATGAAGAACATGACACAAGAGCCCACTCCTTCTATTGTGCCCCACCAAGTAATATTCAGGGATATGGTGCATTTCACCCTGATATTGGTAGATATCCACTAGTGGCTTCCAATAGCCTCATGGCTTTGCTTTACCTTCTTTTAAAACTGCCTGCCTTGCTGATGATTTTACCATCTTTTGTGACCAGGTTTCTCATTCATTTATTGATGCTGTTTAAAGGCCACTCAGTAAGGGAGTCTTCAGGACAATTTGCAGCAAGAAATAACAAAGTTAGCTCTCTTGCTCTAGGTAAAAGTGCCAATGTGCCTTGTAGTGGCTATCAAGCAACCACACCATTACAGAACATTCTCTTCCCTCCTCATCTTCTCCTTGTCCCTTTCATCTTTTGCGTACCCATTTGGCACCCCACATTCCACATCGCCTGGGGGTTGAAATTGGAGGAGTCCGTCCGTAGCCCACTGGGGAAGATCCGTGTCAGTTGCCAGGTATTATGGCGGACAAAGTCATTCCCTATGGGAGATAGTGCACCAATTGTTAGGAATTCAGTAAAGGCAGCAGTGATTAATTAGGTAAGAAGACTATCAGGATTGTAATACTAGAACACCTATCATTTATCGAAAACCACACACACCAAGCAATGTTCTATGTATGTATGGCTTGTCTTAGGATAAACTTAAGAAAAGAGCCCATCCCTTCTCAGAGCTCTGAGAAAGAATGTTGTAGAAAACCTTAATGTAAGCAGAATAGTTACTTCATAACAAAAGGGAGAAAACAGACATTTCTTGCATCCTTTCCAAGGCTTGATAGCTACTTGTAAATTGCAGAATCATCCAGTTTTAGTAAAATTCATTTTAACCAATGCTATAGGGCTAATTAGTGCTGAAATTCCCTCCTGGATGAATAACAAACACATGGGTAGAGTTCTGAGTTTACCCAATCTGATATTATTATACTACTGTTAGTATTATTTACTGTATCTTTATGGCTGGCTTTACATATTTTTATCTTTTTTAATCTGACACAAAATTTGTGGAATTACAGCCTGCCTGTACCTGCTAAGTTCTAGCGGTCGAGGAAGTTGAATGAGCAAGAATAGTATTGGGCAGAATTGTATACCCATGGCCCATTTTGCCCGCCAGCAGATTTCACCCCCAGTTTCTCACCAGCTTCTCGGATGAGCTTGCGAGCTTTGGATTCAGTGAAGGAAGACATCTCATATGACTTGTAATGGCTGCAAGAATGCTGGAAGTTGTAGAAAGGTACACTCTTACAGTAGATAATACAATCCGAAAGTTCCTTGGAGAGGGAATGTTTACCTTTCTAAAATAAAAATAAAAATGTTCATCTGCAGATTATTCACAAATAACACTCCTGCCAAAAATGGGGGAAAGTACCCTGTCTCTGAATATTTCATCTGTACAAGTACTGTAACCCAACACAGCCCCCCCTCAAATATTGCATCCAAAGTGACTATTATTAAAATATGATAACGACACGAGGCACTATCCTAGAAGCCGCATTTGGCCAATAGTGGGAGAGGAATAAAAAATTTTCACAGCAAAGAAGGGAGGGATTAAATATTAATAGATAAGTGAATCTACTGGAGACCATTTTGAGGACAAATCAGCAGAAATACTGCTATTGTTAGTCTATGATTTGCCAATGAATTTAGGTGACATGATTTGGGGGAACTTTGTGGAAGGTACAAAATAGGGATCCAGGTTGCCTTCTCTTATTGTAAACAGCAGGCCAACCAGGAAGGTGTCCACATACCTTCTCTTTTCTCTTGTCTTCACTGCGCAGGGCCTCTTCTTCTATCTCGTTTCCTTCCTCGTCAATAACTTCTTCCCGTTCAGGCATCTTGTCTGGATGCTCATTCAGAGAATCTTCCAGATATCCAATCTTCTTGCCTTTTAGAATGATCTTGCCCTTCAACTGCTGCATGTGGACACGGAGACCAGATTGGAAGAGGAAGATGATTCTATTGCTTTTGACAGAAGTAGCTCAGCTAAGTTACTTTGGTTATAAGACCCCAGCATTTTCACAAGAACAAGTTTTGACAGATGGCAAGGTTGCTGAGTTTACACCTCTGTTCAAAAACTTACTGTGACTTTTTTGCAAGCACTTTGCATTGGGGCATTCAAAGGACGTCCAACTATTTCCTGGATAGTTTTGGACGTAGCACTTTTCCAGAAAAGTAGTAAATCCCTCTTTAAAAAGCAACCCAAACTACAAAGAGTACCACTTAGACCATGCTGGCTGGGAAATTCTGGGAATTGAAGTCTACACATCTAGAGTTGATAAGGTTGAGAAACACTGGTTTAAAATCTCAAGAAGCATTGTTCCACGAAGCAGTAGAGAACCATTTTGCAGTCCCTCTATCATCATCAATCAATTGTTCAAGGTGATGCAGATGTCTAAACTGGGGCCACCTAAGAACCTGGAAAGGCACAGGCGGCGATCCTGGTTGGAAAGACCTGAAATTTCCTGTTGCCTGGAAATTTTCCAACAATCCTAAAAACAAGGTCCAGGAAGGCAACGTGCGTACAACAGCTTAAAGTGCCCAAGAGATATGAGCCTGGTGCTATCTCTAGTGGGTCACTTGACTGTACTGCTGACTCGTTTTTTAGTTAAATGCATTTTTCAATGACTATGAAATGTAAGGGGGGAAACAGGATGTTTTGAGGCTGTCTCATATGGACTGGGGATGAGACAAAAAACACAGTATGGTGATATAGCAGGGGGGAAAGGGGGGGTTAGCTGTGCTTATTTGCACTGCTGTAGATGTAAGTCAGGAAAGGTCTATGTAAGCTCATTTTGTTGCTAACTCTGACATGATTTGGGGCATTTCTATTTCTTCTTCTTCTCTTGGTTTTTGTACCATCTAGCTTGATGAAGAATTCTGAAAACTTCAATAAAATTGTATGTTATTTTCTGGCATTTTAGTTGCTCAATATCCATCTACTTATCTATGAATTTGAAAACACCTCCTAGTTTTACAATCAAATTTTGTAAAGGGCTAGCCTGGATAATCATTAGGTGAAAGTTTATTAATTACTCTATGTTCTTACTTCAGGTGAAGGCAATTGCACAGGAACAAGGTCATCAATGGTCTTGATGAGGAGACATTCTCCCAGGATGCCTTTCAGCAGTTGTGCCATGATGTCTTGTTGTTCTATGCTACAGTGATTGTCAATAGATAGAATGATGGGATAATCAGAAACCTGGATAATAGAGGAAGACATAGGGTGATAAATAAGAGAATGAGCTTTGTTAGTGTTCATATTTAAAAGTTACCCTTTAGGTATTTTGTCCCTTTTTGAATAACTTTAATATTTGTCTGTTCTAAGATGAAAAACTACAGTATAGTATCTGCCCATCAAACACATCAAATTCAGTCCGGCAGGGTTGGTGTGTTCTTTCGATTAAACAATGCCATCTATCAGGATCTCAAAAGCACACCTCTGTAGCAATGCCTGCCTTCTGGAATGAGACTTGCCCTAAGATCCAGATGGTTCCCAACCTGCTAGGCCTTTGTCAAGTGTAAGTGAAGCCCCCTTGGATTGGGTGGGTTTGTTTCTTTTTCATTCCTGTCCAGATCTTGTACTGTTACCATCTTTTTTATTTCTATTTTATTTCTTATTGTATTTTTAAAAGTATTTTTATTTATGAGCTGTCCGCATTCATTGGCAGTTCAGCAGCATACAAATTTTCATTATCATCACCTCATCGTCAACATCAATAAATGGCCATTGTTAGTTGCTTTTGAAGGGATTTTGACTTACAGTAAGAGAAATGGTGCAGATGGAATAAATCTCTAAGGCTACCTAAATCCTTATTCAAAAAGAGCTAGCCAGAATATACCTTGCAACATGGCGTTGTTCTATGCTGTATTAAACTCCTCCTGCTCAAGCCTAACAAATTCATACTTTTATCGTTATCTCCTTCCCACCTATAGGGGGAGTTCAGCCCTACAGGTATTTCTTGTGGTAGAAGCATACAACTTACCCAGAAGGCATATTTCTCAAGAGTTGTCACAACATCACGGAAAGGGATCTTAGAAGTGAATGTATAGCCATGATAGACAATTGGTTCTCCATTCGGTCCATCCCAACAATCAACCTCTAAGCAGCGGCAGCCCCGTTTGAGAGCCCTGCAAAGAGGAGAAAGTAATTCATTGGCCCTTTGCCTTTGAGACCCAGAATACAGTCTTGGCAGTTTCCTCAGCTGCTACCTAATTAAGAGTGAACATGGAGAAAATATTAAAAAAACACCTATATCTAACACTTTTGTGGCTTGCCTATTCCACAGGCAGCTGATGGAATGGCATGGCAGAACTGATCCTCAAAACACCGGGAAAAACCTCCAAGTGCCAGTCAAAAAAATTAACTGGTTATATCAGATGCCTAGGGGAGATTATCTTAATTGTTCCACCATCTTTGCAAAGGTCTGAGAAGTTAGTAATGTCCAGCTTGATTAGAAAGTATTCATGTAATGCAAATGAATGATTATTTCTGTTCTCCTGATATTGCTCCATTGGGTCTGACGCAAATTTTAGGTCTAACAAATGACTGCCCTTGTCAGAGCCAAGATAACTTGGGATTAGCCTATAGTTGTACTGAAAGTCAAGGAATCCTGAGCAGCACTGCTTCCCGTTCCCAGGACACAGAAGCAGAAGTCCTCCAGCACTATAATCCTAGGGGACTCCACCACAATCCACAATAAGATCTAGAAGTTCAGGAAGGACCATTTCTATTCTTTCTGTGAGTTCAAAGATTGGTGGATAGCACTTAATTTGGCTGTAAGGAAGAGCCATAAGGTTAATCATAGAGATAGTTGGGGATATCAGTCAAGGAGACATGATGAGTTGGGAAAGGGCTTGGAAAATCAGGAAATGTTAACAGCATAATAGAGAGTGAAATCTATTAGCCTTATTAGGGTTCCACCTAAAATCTGTAGAAAAGAAAGAGAAGTTTATACATGGAATCAAAGGACTGGAGATACCAATCTGCTCAGCCTCTGTTTGAAAACTGTTTTTATTCTTCACAGGGCTTGTTTTGCCTTCTGCTAGCCATTTCCACTGCCCTCCTTCTCAGCTGTCTGTTTGGCTAATTTCTTTCTTAAGATAAAGGAAAGGAATGAACATAATCATGACAGGGACTGATGGACCCGCAATTTCAGACTCAGTTTAGGATTTTAATATACCGATGGCATTCTGATGTGCTTGTTGCATCATTATAGGTAGTCCTCGATTTGCAGTCATTCATTTAGTGACTATCTGAAGTTACAAAGGCACTGAAAAAAAATGACTTATGACCATTTTTCACACTTAGGCCCATTGCAGCATCCCCATCGACACGCAATCAAAATTTGGACACCTGGCCATTCATTCATATTTATGACGGTTGCAGTATCCTGGGATCACGACCCTTGGCGACCGTCTGACAAACAAAGTCAATGGGGAAGCCGGATTCACTTAACAACCGTGTCACTAACTTAATCACAGCAGTGATTCACTTAACCGCTGTGGCAAGAAAGGTCATAAAATGGGGCAAAACTCACTTAACAAATGTCTCAACAACAGACATTTGGGGCTCAGTTATGGTCGTAAGTTAAGGACTACCCGTACTTATTAAATGATAAAGAATTCCCACATGCACACATAAGTAATCGTTTTGGAAATACAAGGGGAAACAAAACTAATGTTTGGCTCTGTCGCTGAAAGGACTCCTGATGCAGTTGCTTTCTCATCTCTCCTTTCATTTGGATACCTGATGTATCCTTCAACACTGCTTTGTCCTCGCAGCTGGTCCTCAATCAGATACGTGTTGTGAGAGGAAGAGATAAAATAATGGCCAAGAGGCTGAGACATATCCTGGAAAATCTTCCTGTGCTCAGGGTTGAAGATGGAGCCGTCTGGTGAGCAAAGATACATGAGGAATCCATCTGGGCTCAGTATATGGCGAGCTTTGCCTATCGGAAGAAAAGGTTGGTGAGAAGGAGCAGAAATTGATAGGGCTTTCAAAACAAAGGCCCTGCTAAGGGACGGACACTGAATTAAATAAAAACTATGAAGTAAGAGTCTTTGATCGATCAGGAAAGAACGGGTCTTAGCAGTCTCTACGACAATGGGGTCATATAACTGGTTTTAAAAAGCAATGCTGGCTTTGGGGAATTCTGCTAACACTAGAAAGTCACACCTTGGATATATCACTGAGTACTCCAGCAACAACTTGTGCCAACTCTGGAGGCTGGGTTACAGATCTACCAGCTCTCCTTTTGTTACTCCACCAACTCACCAGTCTCAGATGGTTCATATCTGTCAATCAGTTCCATTGCAAGCTCATCAGTGCCCTCAATTTCCATCTGCTCCTGTTGCAAGAAGTCCACAAATTCCAAGAGGGTCAGCTTCTTCCCATCTTCAGAATACTCCTTGAAAATCTCAAGCACCTCATCCCGCTGAGTTAGTGCTTTGTAGAACAGCACAAATTCCTCTCCCTCCAGCGACCCTGTTTCTGATTTGTCAGCCATCTGTAAGGAATGGAGGGCTCTAACCAATGGCTTCCTTATGCAGGAAGTAGAACACAACAATCACACCAAGCCAAACAAGTTATCCTGCCCACTGAAGGAGCCTGTGGAATTAAGGGCCTTTCTCCACTTGGATTGAAGAGCAAACGTGCCCTAGCAATGTATCTTTTTTTGCTAGTTCCCACAATGTTGCTTTCATTTCACCTTGAATCCATGAATGAGACAAATTTCAACCACCCAATGTATTCCTTCTTCTTAATAACTGAAGTATTCTGCAGGCATATATAAGGATTCCAGAGGTAGGAAAATTGGACTTGAAACAAATTAATGAAGTATACTTTATAAAAGAAAAAAGATTTATTTTCCAGGAAATATATAAGATAGGATAGGCAAAGTCTAGCGAATGGTTACAAGACACTGAATGAAAAACTATATACTATGTACATGTACATGTATGTGCCAATGAAGAAAGGGAAATAAAAGTGGCCTGAAATAAGCAACCTCGCAAAAGAGAGAGCACACAGAGTATATCCTTAATGTTCTTCTACATCCCACAGTTTCTCTCATGGACGGTTGATCATGAGGTTCTAATGACTCAGTGCCACTGGGTTGACATTTTCTACAATTCTGATCCCATCTGAAGAAAACTTGTATAACATCTATTAGGATTTGGAAGGAAATCAGGTGGGTTGGTAGTGATTGAGGCAATAGAAGGGGAAATAGGGATTGGCAAAGGGAAGATAAATTTCATGCTGGTTCATATTTTTTGTTAATGCAAGGATGGCTGCAGAGCAGTTCAATTCAGCAACAGAGGAAGGCTAATACCATTGCTGCTTTGCTGCTATTGCATGAACTGTGGGTTGCAGTGTTTTGCATGAACCTCACCTAAATGGACTTGCCTTTACCTTAAGCAGATGAGATAAGAAAAGGAAGCTGTCTAATTATTCGTTGGCCCTTTTGTCGCTCAATTTTACAACTGATTGTAGTATTTTAAAAGTGCCAGGCTACAAATTCTACCACTTCCATCCACCATGCTGACTGAGGAAGAGAGGATTAGACTGATGGCCGACGGTGTCAGGTAGGCCAGTGTAATTGTATTCCAGAAAACAAGGCATTTAGATTGGCAAGGAGCCACAGCCGAATGGATATTCCATTGGGATATAAATAACGTCATTGGAAACAAATCGAACAACCAAGTCTGAGGATAAACATTATGTGCAGAGAGCAAGAGAGGCTAGGATATTTGCACTCTCATCAGTAGATGATGGTGGCAATGTGCCTTCTTATGAACTAACAGAAGAATGGCTTTTATGTAACTTAGCTCCACATGTTCTCCACTTTGGCTCATACAGATTTACCTGGAAGAGCTGGAAGGCACGGTCTTCATTCATATCCACATTCATCATCCTAAGCAAGTGCTGCACCTCTTTGAAGTTCATGCGACCATCATTGTCTTTATCAGCTTTTAAAAACCAGTCACAGATCCATGTGCAACCCAGGTGTGGATTAAGGAAAAGAGACTCATAGGATCAGAGCAGACAAGCATGGTATACTTTTGTCAAAACAAAACACCCTGGAAACGAGGACAAATTGACACCTTGTTAGTACAGGACAGATTGTAATGGAAGGGATCTGGAATTGCAATGGAAGAGAAAACTCTTTCGGATGTTTGTTTCCTATATTTTATAAAGGGAAGAAAGTATTATCTTTTAGCTAAGTATTGTATTTTTAACTAGTGGTTAAAATAACAAACTGAAATAAAGACATTTCCTTTACATTGTCCTTCTGCAATAAAGATAGACATCTCAATGTGTCTCCAATATTAGACGCAAGCTGAGCTTCCTTTTTTCCCCTTTTGTGGGAAAGGCACTGAAAGGAATAGCAGGTAATTAAAAGTAAGGATATTGATCAAGCCTCTCTTTTTGATCCATGTTAATGACCGCCTTTATGAGGCACCGCAAACCTTGAATCCAACACTGAGCCTCCTCAGCTGAACTAGCAATGAGATCGAGATTGCTTCGCCGCCCATAGAAGACAACAGTGAAACAGCAATCAGCAGGGAACTCCTCAGCCAGACTTCGCAGCACCTCCGATTGATGTCCTTCACGGATTGTCTCCACATCACTTACAGAAACTTGAGAGAAGAATAACCAGAAAAGATAAGCCTTTACATAGAGCAGGGGTCTTCAAACTTGGCCCTTTTATGACTTGTAGACTTTAACTCCCAGAATTCCTCAGCCAGTGTGCCTGGTTGATGAATTCTGGGAGTTGAAGTCCACAAGTCATAAAAGGGCCAAGTTTGAAGACCCCTGATGTAGAGGGTTGAACTTAAGTTATAAAAGCATTCCTTTCTTCTCTATCCGGGCTGCACATAAACACAAATGGTGAAATCAAAGTGACTGTTTTTTTTAATTAGAGCCAAGTACATAAATTAAATAAAATGAATAAAAATATAACTAGCGTAATCCCAGAGTACGATTCTCATTACTAATTGAAGAGAAGATGAATGCACCCAGGATACCACAAATTCAGCAGCAGAAAAATATCAAGAAGGTACTCCATGCCTCTATGGGAGATACAATAACATGCAACAAAAATATCTTTAATTGGCAATTTGGTACAATATAGTTGATGCCTGAAGTTACTCTATTCAACATTCTTCTATTTGGTATCCTCTAGATAAGATCAATTGCATAATATCCACCAGCCGAAGTAGCAATGGTAATTCCACTACATAGACAATCAAGCAGTGGGGATGGTTTCAGCTACATCCCAAACTCCTGTTTTCTCAACATTTTAAACAAACCTTACAAAATTTATTCTAGAAAATGTCACGCACATGAGAAATTGTGAGGCTTGAGAGCACACATGGACATATGCATCTACATTCCCAATAATTCCCAACATTATGAAAAATTTTATCTTCTCCTCTGGATCTGGGAAACCAATATTTACATTAGCCTTATTTGTTTTTTCGTCCTTATTGTGTGCCCTGAATCTTTCTCAGGATTGGAACTCACAAACATTTTTATATAGGTTGTGGGTAAATTTGTGCAAGTTTTCCCAATTTTTCTATTCTGCACTTACAGGATTTGAAAGCCCATACTCAAAGACAATGTTCCTGAGAATCAGCCCTGTGGCAAATAATATGGTGCAAGTAGTCAAACTCACAGGCTGATTTGGCTTTGCCAGACATCTTAGATTTGTACCAGACTGTCATGCAGTCCTGCTGTAACAGAAAGTAGCGTTGTTTCTTCCAGTTCTTGGATTTCACCTTGCGCATCATTGTTCCTTGTTGCATTTGAACAAGATTGTCATCCAGTTGTATACCTGAGCAGAGATTGGGACATTTCAAGTCAGGGAGGGTGCTGGTTCTAGTACAATAACAACTATATGCAATTAAATGCAAATGTTAGGCACTCTGATCAATGTTTGTGCTTCAATAAATTCCTGAGTGAACAAAATCTGATACAACCGGGTACATAATTTAAAATGTCATATTTTTGCTAACTGGAATGCATATCTATTATTTGTGTGCAGTATTTGGATATACAGTTGTTTCCTTAAAAAAAAACCAGTGAATTTAATAAGTGCACAAATTTAGATATCCTTTCACTCAGTGCTCTGCAATACTCAGTGCTTTGCAATTCACTCAATACTCCGCAGCTTCCAAACATTTCCTATATGCAGAAGTCATAAGAGTCTAAGAATATATCCACCAGTTAGTTTGCTTAACCAAGGGCTCGACTGAAGATGGAACTGACTATGGCAGGGAACCTTATAAACAGAGTAGTGGGGAGCTGAGTATTAGAATGGAACAATTCTGGGACAAGAGTTGAGGAGCAAAAAACCTTTTAGAGCTTCAGCAGTCCAAACCAAGAAGTGACATTTAGAGTCTATCTAAGGAAGTCAATAGATCTCACAGAAACAATTTGAAGCTTTTTCTTCTGGTCTCACACCAGCAATCTCAATAATCATTTCAGCCTCAGCTTTGAGAGGTCTTTTACTTGCACCCAGGGGGTGGGGCTGACACAGCAGGGGCTGGTTCCTCACTGTTTCTAGACGGCCTTGTGGAGTTAAGACTGAATGTGTTTCAGCATAGATGGCCACCACAAAATTGTACATTGGCTCCTGGCCGGCCCGGGCCAGGACCAAGGCAGCGGGGGCCGTTCCCTCACTGTTTCCAGGATGGCTTCACGGGCCACATGAAACTACTTTGCGGGCCACATCCAGCCCCCAGGCCTTGTGTTTGACATATCTGGTGTATAGCATCACCTCTTTACACCATATTCTGCACTTCTCCAACACCTGTCAGTTATTAGTTGGGCTGATTCCTCTTCAAAGCCTGGTGTATGGAGGAGAAAACAATTTGGTTTTGGAGAGCAGTGGCCAGGGAGGAGAGAAGAGGGGGGATGCCTATATCCGTTGAGAGTTCTCAATAAATGCTCAGGGATCATCTAACTCTACTAAAACATCAATAAACCACGTCAGATTGTACTTATGATAAAATTGGTATTCTCTTTGGCTTAGTTATAAGGAAACATGTTACTTTGAAGCTGGAACATCTAAGGAAAACTTAAGGCATTTCTCTGGCATTTATTTACCTATTTATTTTAAAAGATTTATGGTATGGTCTGGAATGAGGTGAGATGGTGGCAACATAACCTAACCCTTGGGCCCAGAGAAAGATCGGAAAACAAGTAAATGGTCACATGTAATGGCTACAAGGACTGAATTGATGTGTGGGCCTCATAACTGAGGATGGCTTGCAGGACTGTTAGTTTCTCAGAGCTTCCAGAAAATACTTACGAGGACTGTAGAGAAGTGAAGACATGGCTTTTCCTCCTTTAGCTTGGAAAAATTGACACCTATAACATAAGAAAGTAGAAGCAAAAGAAACAGGGAAAGAAAAAGCAGCAAGTAGAGGACTAGACCGAATACTCTGTTTCTTGACTTTCCAAAAACATCCCAAAAACACTTTTATGGAAAGGAGATATCTGCAGTGGAATCTTATGTACCTTACCTTGGAAATTATTCCCAATAAGGCATACTTCTAACTAGAAAGGTGTAGAAGTTAGTTTTGTTTAGATGCTGGATTCTCCCTTATCTCTCTAACACTATGGTAGCACTTATACATTGAACTACAACTCCTTTTATGACCTTCATGTTCTCTAACTGGGTTGACTATTGATTTTTTAGGAAATAGTTGGTGTTGCAGACCAATAGATTTGGAGGACATCATTTTTGGAAATGGTATAAAGTCACAGATTAGGATGGTGGCTGATTAGGATATTGCAGTAGGACTGGAAAGAGACCCAGGTTCAAATTCACTCAGTCATGGAAATAGATTGGGCGACTTAGGCCAATCTCTCATCCTGATCTATCTCACAAGGGGTACAATTAGAGGAAATATTTATATGACACCTTGAAATCCCAGAGGAAAGGTTGGCATATATTGATCACAGCTAAAGTTGCAAACCATGAGTATAAAAACTGCAACTCACAAACCCTATTTCTATGCACCTATGCACCTTTTACTATTCCAAGCAACAAAAAGTTCCCAAGATAGGATCAGTTCCATCATGAGGACAAATAAACATGTAAATTGATTCTTTGAAAATGTATAAGAAAGGCTGCAAATGCTACTTTTTAAAACAAATAGCATCATTCATTAAATAGTAGCATCAACCCAAAACTAAACCAAACTGAAGCTCAAAAAGGTCCAGCTAACTATAAATTCACACAGATTATTTGTTCAGTCATTAATTATAATTCAGTAATTACAACTGTCCTATTACAAATTCCTGTGTTTAGCAGTAGCCTCCAGAGGCCGTTGAGGAAGATTATGAAGCTTTCAGATAATAGAAGCTGTTTGAATGGAATGGCTAGGTAATTTTAGATCTTAAATCTAATGGTCTCATGGGTGCTTACTATTTCTGTTAACAGTATTTATTAGGTCATATTGTTATAAACACACAACTGATACCATTTTTCTATATCCATAACATGCTGCATGATTTACAAGTGCTTCTATATTCCTGGCATACAAATCTGTTTTCTAGCTCTAGCACCCGAATAAAGTGTTGTTTAATGTTGTACACTACCTGGAATCACTGTGTGCAAGGTGGGTAACCATATAAATCTATTTAAGTAATAAATAAAATAAAGGTGTTTTAAATTCAAGGCATGATCATAATTTCTGCATCACTCTGTGAACATCTAATTCCCACAGCACTGTCTTATGTCTAAGGATATTCATCCACGGAGTAGGTCTGTATTACTATTATCCTTCCCATCTTTCCTATTACTTTCCACTATTGGTATCTTATGATTATATTACTGAGTTTTTGTATGTTCACTGAGAGTTTCTGCACCAGAAATAAATTCCTTGTATGTCCAATCACACTTGACCAATAAAGAATACTGTATTGTACTGTATCTTCTGTAATAAAATAGAGTTGTGAATGCGCCAACACTGGAAGTTTTTAAGAAGAAACTGGACAGCCATTTATCCGAAATGGTATAGGGTTCCTGCCTGAGCAGGGGGTTGGACTAGATGACCTCCAGGGTCCCTTGCAGCTTTATTATTATTATTATTATTATTATTATTATTATTATTATTATTATTATTATTATTATTTTGTGGTGGAAAAAGTGTGTGTGTGTATGTGTGTGTGTGTGTGAGAGAGAGAGAGCGAGCAAAAAGGGAGGACATTTTGCAGCCATGTCAATGCCTGATGGCTCATTTGTTGTTACCCCATCACCAGCTGTTCTTAAGTGACCTTTGATCCTTAAAATTCTTCCTTTTCCAAATTGGCTATCCTGCAGCTGTATGGAGATTACAGTTCCTAAAATAATTAAGCAACACTGGCTGAAAATTCTGAGATCTGTAGTCCCAAAATGTTTGGAGGACATCCATTTGGGCAAAGCTGTTTTAGGAAAACTTTCTCCAGTATGGCCATCACACCGAAGAAAGGTTTTTTTTAATATTATTATTACCATCACACAGGTAGAATAGGGCTTCTATACAAAAAAAAAAAAAATCAGTGCTGAATATCCAAAGTGCCTGTCATGCTGAAGATAACACATCTAGGGGGAATTTCAAGACAGTACTTTCAGGACTCTGCTTCAGAGCACATTAATTAAAGTGCTGTATCCCACTCCTTGAGCGGGTACAAATTGCAACTATCTCATTGCCGGTTTCTAGTCTGTCACAGGAATGCATCTGGCAACAGATGTTGAACTGACAGACTAAAGAAAGCAATTGGTGGTTTTGCTTCCCTCCCTCCAATTACATTATAAGCACAAAGATAGAAAGATGCTGAAATACCCACAACAGAGGAATGGTTGGTGAAAATGACAGAATTTGCAGAGATGGCAAAACTAACTTACTTGACCAGAGGAAAGACAACAATTACAGATGTCAGTAACTGGAAGCCCCTTATGGACTTTTTGCTGAAATAAAACAAAAAGAACATGTGATTTATGGATCTGATTATTATGGAAAGAAGTGAGCAATGATGTAACCTTCGCAAGAGAATAACATATAAACGATCAAAATAGAAAGATCAGAAGCCATTTCCTTGTTTCTTTTTCTCTCCTCTTCTATTTACTTATCACTTTTTATTTTTTACTTTCTATAAATTATTTTTACACTTTATATAAAACTTCTTTAATAAAAGTTAATTGGAAAAAAATACAGATTTAATCACTTGTTAGGCTCCTTGTGTAGCTCTGAATAGGGAGGTGCTATTTCTGAAACAAGAATCTGACAGTCACACCATCAGGAGGGAGGGGCATCATCTGGAGCCAGTACATCAAGAGCTGGCTGAGGAATTCTGGGAGTTGAAGTCCACAAATCTTAAAGTTGCCAAGGTTGAGAACCCCTGATCAAGAGAGAACTTTATTGTTTCATCCCATGATTTTTTTTTCATGGCTACGACTCATCAGCCTGGCTATCTTTGAACTTGAGTTTGTGATGTTTCAGAAGAGTGGTAGATGTGATCAAAAAAAATCTGTCAGATCATAGGTACAGAGGAGAGGCTGTGAAGAAAATTGCAGAATCTTTCTCCTGAGTTCACTCAGGCAATCATTTAAGTATGAGCCAGCAGTGTGCTGCCACCACCAAAAAAACCAATGCAATCCTGGGCTATATTAACAGAGGGATGGAGTCAAAATCACGTGAAGTGTTAGTACCACTATATAATACCTTGGTAAGACCACACTTGGAATATTGCATCCAGTTTTGGTCACCACAATATAAAAAAGATGTTGAGACTCTGGAAAAACTGCAGAAAAGAGCAGCTAAAGTGTTTAGGGGACTGGAAGCTAAAATTTGAAGAACAGTTGGAGGAACTGGAAGATTACAGTTAGGGATCTCAGAAAAGGCAGAAGTGGGATGATTTTACATATCTCTTCATACCGCTAATGTTTTTTTAATGGTAGTTTTACAGAATAAAACAACAGAAATTTAATGAAACAGTGAAGAGATATTCCATTAAATATTGATATAAAACTCAAGTAACATCCCTTAAAACAGAATTACCAAAGAAACTGTCCTTTCACAATGACTTTTATGATCCCCCTAAATGAGAGTTGAAATCTCCAGTTTTGTTTTAATTTTCAAAGAAGAGGATTTGGTGCAGGTTATCAATTTTTTCCCCCCAAAGAAGTCAGTCAAGGGGATCAAGCACTCTGAGCCGACATGTAATATGAGAAAACAAGCACTACTTGTTTCTTTGGCCTGAATGCTACTAAAATGCAAAATACATCTCCAGTGCTCCGACCAGGAGGCCAGCAGTCGTGATTCAGCATACTTTAAAAGCCACAAATCCTATTCTTGCTTTAGAAATTGGGATCTCTTGGGATATTATTATTGTGAGCACTCAACCTGCATGTATGCGCAAATAAGCCTATCAAAGAATGAGTTACAATCCTCGACTTACAACGGTTCATTTAATGACCGTTCAAAGTTACAATGGCACTGAAAAAAATGACCTTTTGACCATTTTTCACACTTAACGATTGTTGCAACATCCCCATGGTCACATAATCAAAATTTGGCGACTGGTTCTTATTTATGACGCTTGCAATGTCCCAGGGCCATGTGATCACTTTTTGAGATGTTCTGTCAAGCAAAGTCAATGGGGAGCCAGATTCACTTAACAACCATGTTACTAAGGTAACAACTGCAAAAACTGTCTCACCTATCAACAGAAGTTTTGGGCTCAATTGTGGTCGTAAGTTCAGAACTACCTGTATAACAGAAGCAAGATTAGATTTCAATGACCACCCATGGAGAGCAAATCTGGGCACATATTGCTAATTTAACGTATCTCATTATTAATAGTGGAGTGGATATCTATCATTCCAAGTTATATAAAGGAGTCAGCTGTCTGCAGTGCTAAATTATCAAGCATCTTTATACTTTAATCTATCCCAGCTGAATGCTCCCTTTCCTAATTGACAGTAGAAGTGGAGAAGAATAGCATTCTATTTCTGGAAGTAAAAGAGATGCTTAATGTTATTCCTTCTTCAAAACCATCACTGTTCCTCTTTAATGCTCTTTGTGATGTTTTGTACCTGCTCGGAGGCATGAATTTAGGTTAAGAAACATCACGTGGTATGCATTTAATGGAGTGATGTGGTAGATTTCTGAGAAGAGCTCCTAGCTTTTGGAACAAATGGTTGTTTCTTTTTGGCACATTTTGCTCAAAATACATGCAGTACTTTCAGAAATTATAGTTTCATCTAAGCTCATTTCTTCCTATTACAAAATCAAGTCCTCAAGGTTATGGACATCCTAGCAAAAGACCTGAAAAAGATTTGAACCTGGCCAGGTACAAGTCTCTGAACATTGGTTCTTTGTGCAAAGTGAGCACTTTAACATAGCTCTAACCTTGGAATTACATGCTATTTCTCACTCAAGCACACACATACTGTACATAACCATTAATGTACATGATGAACATGCATAGGCAAGGGTAGACTCTAGAGCAGCCGTCAGTTTTGGGAAGTTTAAGATATGTGAATTGCAATTCCTAGAATTCCCTAGCCAGCCATGTTGGTTGGAGAATGTTGGGGGTTGAAGTTTGCACACCTTCAAGTTGCCAAGATTGAGAAACACTGCTCTAGAGGTCTGGGATCTATCTGCATAATATTTTGCCAAAGAAGCCCATCAAACTGAATAAGTGGCCCGGAGCACAGTCAAATGGACATTGTTTCTTCAGTGGCAAAAATGACCTGGTGTAGCTGAGTTATTACATTCCACAGATTCTAATACAGTAGCCTACAGAAAAGGATGGGTGGGGGAGTAGATGGATGGATAGATGGATGGATAGAAAGAGGATGGATGGACAGACAGACAGACACCTTTTTCTTATTATAAACAGTTGGGATAAAAACATAGTTGATGATTGCAAAACAATCCAGTAATTCACTAAAATACTCCAGTCTATAATCTAGCTAACTATCATTCGGATATAAAGAAATGAAAAGAAATAGGAAGCAGATCAATTCAAAATGGGATTCCCTGTGATTTCTGCCTTGTTCAAATTACATTTGGTCATTTATAATATTTTAGGCAGTCTATTTCATATACAAAAGTTCTTGGCAGTGTTTTAATTTCATCAAGTAGAGTATAGTGTAGGATACTTATGCGGTAATAAATTTGGTATTCTTCAAGGTATTTTTCCTGCAAGAAACTAACACGACTGAATCTCTCAAACTTATTGTACAATTTACAAATATCAGGAACTTTATTTCTGCCCTCTGTGTGATGTTTTTAAAGGATCATTCTATAAAATTAATCATCTTATGAATGCCAGGATTTCTGTTTTATCATTAACAATGGCTATTCTGCTACTATTAATAACTGTACTTTCTGCATCCAAGATCTCTTGGGCCTCACCATGACAGTACCACCACTATGCATATGTGCATGTGTATGCACAATTTATTCATTTATTATATGCACCCATTTTTTCTCTAGCTGAATATGGGTATAGAGTATATAATTATATAGAAGGAACAAGGTAGGCATTATATCCAGCTCTAAGGTCTGGGTGCCAAATTTAGGATTTGGGTTTTGTTTATTTTAGGTCTATGTTTTATTTTATTTTATTTAGTGTTCTTTTTTTTCTTGTGAGCTTCTAAGAGTTTTGTAATTATATCAGCTATGGTATATACATTTTACATATATTGTATGAGCATTTGGCTACTAACAGAACAATTGTAGCTTACCATATTTCTGGCTAAATTGGTTCCATTGTTCTTACTGTTTAGGAATATTGCACAATAATTACAATGGAATATAAAAACCTGTGAGATAATAAACATATTAGCTTTAAAGTGGCCATCAGATTCTGAAGATTACTGGAATCATTAGTAGTATCTAATGTATAAGAATAGCCTATGATTACAATCTGGATATTACAAGATGCTTTCTTTAAGTTGACCAAAACAAGACTCAAAAGAAATACAGTGGTTTGATTTCCTTTACACCTGCAAGCTGGTGTACCATGCAATTTATGATGGATTAATAGAGACCTTTTTAAAAGAGGCTAACACAATCACATCAAAAATAAACATGATACATTTCTAAATGGCACAATTAGTTTTGGTCACCGCGATGTAAAAAAGATGTTGAGATTCTAGAAAGAGTACAGAGAAGAGCAACAAAGATGATTAGGGGACTGGAGGCTAAAGCATATGAGGAATGGTTGCTGGAATTGGGTATGTCTAGTTTAATGAAGAGAAGGACGAGGGGGGACATGATAGCAGTGTTCTAATATCTCAGGGGTTGCCACAAAGAAGAGGGTGTCAAGCTATTTTCCAAGGTGCCTGAAGGCAGGACAAGAAGCAACGGGTGGAAACTAAGCAAGGAGAGAAGCAACCGAGAACTGAGGAGAAACTTCCTTGACAGTTAGAACACTAAACCAGTGGAACAAACTGCCTCCAGAAGTGGTGAATGCTCCAACACTGGAGGTTTTTAAGAAGAGACTGGACAGCCATTTGTCCGAAATGGTATAGGGTTTCCTACCTGAGCAGGGGGTTGGACTAGATGACCTCCAAGGTCCCTTCCAACTTTACTATTATTACTTAATTATAACTCTTCCTTTCATTAATATGGTTGCCACTCCAATTAAAATAAATGCATTACTCCAGGTCAAGGTCAGCCACAAAATTTTACTGCCTCCTGAAACAAGATGTCATCAACGCTTCATGTATAAAAAGTCAGCAGACAAATTTTACTAACACTGTAGTATCAGGGCAGAATTTCTGACCAAATTTGAAGCCAGGAGGCCACAAAGAGGACACAGAACAGGATGAACGGCGGTCATGGCTGTACCCTCCAGTACTTTCTTACTGCTTTCAGGCTCATTACCTCTGTTACCTGATACAGTACAAATTGGCTCACTCTGCTTCGCTGAAAGGAAAGGGTATGCTAAGCATATAGTCTAAAGAGCCCTTTAGGTCTAATTTACTCACACTAAGCAATACAGTAGACATTTCTTTACATTATCACTGCAGTAACACAAATAGCCCAACTGAATTCACTTCTTCATTACCGTAATTCTGCAATTCCTATCAACCATATGAACGATTGTTCTATGAAAAATAAGTCTTGTACTTTGCTTAGATATAAGCAGGTCCTAAATAACAATACTAATGCTAACTGGAATTTTAGTACAGATTTGTACTACTTTATTACATTGGATTCCAGAACTCTTGTTTCATTATTTAATTGACAATACACAGTAAGCTCTGAAGCTCTTATCTAACAACCAGTTCATAAAGTCAAAGAATTAGAAGGCACTTTTTAGGCCAATCCTTCGCTGAGTGCAGGAATCTAAATTATAGTATTTGTGAGACATTACTAGCTAATGTCTGCATGAATACATCCAGTTAGAATTTATCATCCTGCGTTTTACGATAATAGAGAACTGTCTGCAGTGTTTTTGTATGTGATCCTGAATAGTGTCACAGTACAGTATCACTTTACAATTCAGTCTTCTCTCAAGATTAAACTCTCTTCATTCCCTCTTCTTAGACCTTGGTTTCCAGCTTACTGATAATTGTCACTAGCCTTCTCTGTATTCTCTTCAATTTGTCTCAATTCTTTTTAAAGCAGTCAGAATTGTATGGAAATGTTGAGCTGATCTGACCATTGGAGGCTAAATCGGGCTATCTCTATGAGTTGGAAAATAACCAGAAAATAAATTTATGTTCCAACTTGTCTGACCTGGTTCCTATTAATATTTTGATAAAAGCTTATTTAATTTCTCTACATTGGCACCTTCCATTTATGAACTAGGCATTTATGTCTACAGAGGGTGATTGCCCAAACAGATAAAGAGACAAGGCTAAATTGTAAGAAAAAAGACCCTTTCCCATCATCACCTACAGTACCCCACTCCAATATACAAGTATATTTGTAGATCTCACTAGCTGCAGTCATTAAACTCCTTAAGACTTACTGGATTCAATGGAATTTATATCCAGGACTATTAGCTCGGTCCCTACTAATCTCATCCATTTGATCACTAAAAACAGAAGTCCGACTGCAGCCACCGTTGTATTCCTTCCTTGATTGCCTAGGCCCTAGGCCTTTATATCAGCAACAGTTCTCCTTTCTACCTGGAAAGCAGTCAAGACACCTAACAATAAAAAAAAATGAAAACATACTTAAAACATTGTGAAGGATTTAAAATCATTTGTTCAAATCTAAAAGGCCTGACTCAGGGGGAAAACTTGAAAAATAGAAAGAATGAGGGCTGGACACAATTTTTGAAGGAATGTACTCAGTAACATGGGGAAAGGACCTTAATGGAACTCTTTGGCGAGTAGACTTTCATTATCATTCCACCATGCTCTACTGTGTATGTAAATATTGTCCATATTGATAACTCCTACTTCACTATTAAAAAGAGAAAGAAAACCAGCCTTACTTTTGCATCTGCTCACTCTAGCAACATTATTTCTTATTATGAAGGAAATTTGGCCAACTGATTCTTATATGTACTGTCTAGGCCAGCATGGCTGGCTCAGGAATTCTGGGAGTTGAAGTCCACGAGTCATAAAAGTCTAGTCTGGTCTAGTCCAGGGGTGTCAAACTGCTGGCCTGTGGGCAGTGCCCACTCCAGCTCCGGCAATGCAAAAAAAACTCGCGATACATCGCGACACATAACGTGATGCGGCAAGTTTGACATCCGTGGTCTAGGCCAACTCTGCAATACAAGCCATGAATATGAAGAAAATTGATGTGGTTTTTCTCATGTCAGCAGCAAGCTAATAAGCTTAGGTCAGGTTCTTAGGTTTTTAAAGTTCTGCAGATATCCCCTGCTTTCATAATTGGGCTACTTTTCCCTTCCTCTTCCCCAATAACTTTCTATATAGCCTGAGCTCACCTCAGCTCTATCAGTGCCTCTCAGTCCTCCAAATTGTTCCATGTTAGTAAGAAGGCACTGTTCTTGCTCAAAGCATCTCTACTTAATTGTGGTTGCTATCAGCAAGAGAATGCCACTTTGCTTTAAACTATAAGTGTAAAGCCAAAAATGGGGTAACTGACTATGCTAAAAGGAAACTAAATTCAATCAAAATAGAGTTGGAAGAGACCTTGGAGGTCTTCTAGTCCAGTCCTCTGCTCAAGCAGGAGTCCCTATGTAATTTCAGATAAGTGGCTGTCCAGTCTCTTCTTAAAAACCTCGAATGATGGAGCGCCCACAATTTCTGGTGACAAGCTGTTCCACTGGTTAATTGTCCTCACTGTTAGGAAGTTTCTCCTTAATTCCAGGTTGCTTCTCTCCTTGAGTAGTTTCCATCCATTGTTTCTTGTCTTGCCTTCTGGTGCTTTGGGAAATAAATTGACCGCCTCCTCCTTGTGGCAGCCTCTCAAATATTGGAACACTGCTATCCTGTCCTCCCCTAGTCCTTCTTTTCTTTAGACTGGTCATTCCCAAATCCTGCAACCTTTCTTCATATGTTTTAGTTGCTCTTCTTTGCACTTTTTCCAAGGTCTCAACCTCTTTTTGGTAATATGGTGACCAAAACTGGATGCAGTATTCCAGATGTAGCCTTACTAAGGCTTTATAAAGCGGTACTAATACTTCACGTGATTTTGATTCTATGCCTCTGTTTATACAATCAAGGATTGTATTAGCTTTTTTGGCCGCTGCTGCACACTCCTGACTCATGATCTTAAATTCTTTTGGAGATGGGACAGGACAATAAATCCAAATTAGTAATACTGCAACCTTGTTTCTGAACAAAATTCTACTTCTGCCTATTATAGATTTTCCTTCTACTTTTTCTTATGATGCTCAGGGCATTGTAACATGAAGATCATAACCCACACAATCAGCCCTATTGTTAGGCAAACAGAAAATCAATAATTTAGGTGCCAGATTGTTAAGCATCAATCTCTGACCCTCAGCTTGCACTACTGTAATTACTTGAAGGGAGCACTCCAGAGAAGATCCAGGTGTCTGCTGAGTCAGTTGATCCAGAATCTGAACTAAACTAGGCTTTGAGTCCACCATACATCACAAATGAAGAAGAGGAGTCAAGCCATCCACCCAAAAGAAGGAAAAGAAGAAGGAAAAAAGCATGGCTCAGCCAACTAGTCAAATTGATAGGGATATGAAAAAGTCTTTGTAAATGACTTTTTGTACCAAATAACAATGGATGCTTTTACCTGTCTATGTGCAATTTTTGGGTTACCTGCGACTCTGGAATGGAAATGTACTGTTCTTGGCAGTTTTGGCTCTTCAGATTGTCTGCCAGCATAAGGTCCTACGGCTGCGTTCTATACAGAAACTTTTGCAGGTTTTACTTTGGTAAAAATTTTATGATAGCAGAAAATATTGAGCTTGTTATCATAAGCTGGGTTTATGTTCCTATATGGCAGCAGCACTTGGAAGTGCTCTGGGGGTGTCCTCTAGAATCCATTCACAAAATACAGGCAGCTTTCATGAGTAAATGACATCATTGTTCAGCAACCCCCCCACCTCTTCATCCAGGGGAAAGAAGTAAAAGAGCAGTCCTTGTAGCTACAGTCATATTCCCTAAGGAGGTAATGAATAGGATTTTGCTTCTCTGAGCAGTCAATAAACGTTACTACTGCAAAACAGCTGGGTCCCTCTCTGATTTTCTGTGCAATAAGGGAAAAGATTCCCTCACTCCCAAAATGTAAAAAGATCATTTCGTAACGGTTTGATTCTCAAAACATATTCAGACTTATAAGATATACCCTCATGGATATAAAATTGGGCTTTTCTCTAATGTGTCTCACACTAAGCTTCCCTATAAGCTGAGGGAAATGTATGCTAGGTTGAATTGCCAGAGTGTATATTTAGTTCCCCTCTGGGGTGGTGGTGAAATATAATATCTCATCTCAATCACACAAGAATGAACTGCTTGCTGCCTCTGTGGATACACAGAAAAAAGGGGAGGAGTGTATGTCACCTGATCTTGCATATGTTGGGTTTGGCAGTGGATCATGATAGGATATTCTTCAGATATATTTTGAAAGCTGCTTTGCAGACATGTAACAATTTCTCTTAACTCCCTATCAATCTATATAATTTTTGGGGTTGCTGACCCTCTTACCGATGATTTCTGAAGAGCCTAAAAGCTACTTTGTTGAGCTGCTTCCAGAACAATGTTATCTATTTGTTGCAGCAAAATTAGATACCACCCAGTGAATCACCAATCAGCCACTCACATGTTCACCTGCTTGTTCTGTGAGACCAGATTGAAATAGTCATAATTTGGTTTGCCATGCCACAGAAATGCAGCCATAGAATCATGTAGCATCTAAAAACCTAACATTATTGATCTATTAATATTCATGAGCTGTATATGGCCAGCCCCTATTTGCACCTAACCAAAACCAAATAGGGCCTGGGAATATCTTTTTTTTCTGCCATTTCTGATGATGTTGCTTTTACTTTGCCACCAGCCCACAATTGAGCTAGCCTTAAGTCATCCTTCACTTTACTGAGTATAAAGTATCTTTTCCCTCTTATTCCGGTTTCATTCAGGATGTGTCACATTTGTTTGGTTTTCTCATCCTTTACTTTGGAGTGAAGTCAGGTGTCTGCAATGATTTGAAATAGAGGCCGCTGAGGCATGGTGGGGATTGGCAATGGGAACAGAAATATCAAATCAATACGATTTTCTGCTGACTTAAATATAAGGTCTAAGACTGTAATTAATAGGGAAAAGGCCTTAAATGAATTTTCATTCCGGTAAAAGTAGAAATATATTGCATTTTTTGCTTTTCTAATGACACTAAAAGGAAACTAAGTTACAGCATACAACATTTTGAATGATTGCAGCATAGTGCTGTCATTGCAGTGATAAGTATATGTCAGTGACGGAAAATAGAATCTTGGTTGAATGAAATGGAATTTTGGCAAAAGCGCATTTGGGAACATGCCGAATTAAAAAGCTCTATAGAAGCATGGTGTCCAGTTTTGAAAAATGTTATAGAGTTGCCCTCCAAGAGTGTCTGAGGGAATAGAAACTGCCACAGCACCCATGGCTGTGTTTGACCTTTGGTGGAGCTGTGGATCATACTATGTCCATTCACAAGGCAGACTCCTAACAAAAAGGGCAGGAAAATATTAGAAGGTACTCAAAAATGTTCAGCATCCTGAAAACATCCCTCCACCGCACAATAAATCTGAAAGATACAAACTAAAGGGTGATACTTATTGTCATGTCTACATAAACGATCAGTCTACTGCCAGTAAAATGAGAACAAGAGTTATTTAGGGTTATTGTTAGGTTAAATGCTAATAGTAGAAGTGGCCAACTAAATCAACAATTCTTCTGATGTTAATCATTAAGTTAAACTGAACTTTAAAAATCTCTAAAGATTTTAGAAAGTAAAACTAAGAGTTCTCTCTCTAGACAGAAGTGGGAATTTACAGTTTTCAAGAGATTTGGGGATTAGTGCTAAAGATACCCGGGATTGGGGAAGCACTTAGAAGTTCCTCAACTGCTATATCAAAGAACAACACTTTCTTTGAAAATCCTAGCTGTTGTTTATATATCACCTTTAAAAAACAACTCTCATTAAGTCTCCTTCCTTGAATATATAAACTGAATTCTCAAGGAAAATTCAAAGAGCCTTCTTGGAGTTGGGCAGTCTCAACAAATAATAAAATTAAATCTCCTTTGTTCTTTGTTTTTTTTTTTACTTTTTACTTTCACAAAACATTTCCTATTATCATCACTCTTTTCTTTTCTGCTTAAGGTCTAATTTCTTTAAACTTGCAGGAATATGCAAAGTGATATTACAATTAGCAACTAGTTTAAACATCAATATTTTAGAACATTTTTTTATATAAAACTCTCAGGAAGGTTTTTAAAACGTTTGTGGTGGGGGAGTGGATAAGAATCAAGACTTTTTTTCCACTTTACTAGAATATCAAATATATGCATGCACATACAAAATGCATAAATACAAGCAGAACAAGAATGTAGCCAAAGAGTTCTTCAAAGGGATGGTTATCCAATTCCTTGCAATATTAAAAAAATATTTAAATAAACTGACTCTGTTCCTTTACAGAGTGCTTCATTGTCTCACCGTTTTTGAAATTTTAATGCTCAGATGTTAGAAAGGATATACTTTCAAGAAACAATTTAACCTCTCCAAATATATAACTGCAGCTTTGATTTATCCAGGATTGTCCTTGAGAATCAAAAATCCAGTTAGATGTGCAGCAGAAATGTATGACATTCTACTCTAATCCAAGACTCACAACACACTCTTCCATCTCCAAGTAAACATTTGGTACACTTGAGATTTGCATCTGTAATTATACTTACACACAGGTTCTTAAGCTCATTGATTAGCCTTAACTTCCCTCTTCCAGCTTTGATTTACATTTCCAGTATCTTTTTTTCTGTGCTGCAACTAAGCCATAGAAAATGAAAGAAATTCGTGCCTCTGAAGACATGCAAAGTTTTTTTCCTTAACCAAACTCTATATGTATATACACATTCTCTCTATATATAGAGAGAATTAGACTGAAATCCCTCCAACACCATCCATGCATACTCTTGCTCAGCATCTCTTATTTTAGGAACGCAAGGTTCACTGCCCTGATTTGTCTTCAAGCACTTATTTTTCCTGATCTCCCGCTTTCTTTTTTTTAGACAGCACTGCAGCAAAAGTCTCTCTGTCGCCTAAATACACCAGTCTTTGCATTAAAACTCTTACCAGTGGACAGAGAATCCCAGCTTGGGTGAGTATTGTGTCAAAGTGTCTCTATGCCCTGAGATAGCATGATGGCTTCTCTTTCAAGTATCCTGACTTTGCCCTACCACCTCATCCTGTTGGTACTTGAAACTGCTACTGACGCAGCAATTGCATTGCACACACACTAAAGCTCACAGCAGCTCAGCCGTGCCCAGGGCTTTGCCTCCTCCCTTAAAGGCACAGAGCAAGATGCTCAGCTGTCACTCGGATGTTTGG